CCCATTTGATCCGGGAATTCTCTAATGAAACCCCAACCAGTCACGGTGGTGCAAAAGTTTGAGGACAAAATTTCTTCGAAGAAGGGGAGTATGATGTACCCCTGGATGGCTCCACCAAAACCCCAAAATCCAAAACAACACCAAAACCCTAATCTCCTCTCCTCTTCCTTCTTCTCCCCCTCTGGCCGAAACTACAACCCATCAACATACCCCACATGATTTTGTTCATTGAATTAAAACATAAAAGACCAAAAACAAGGGGGGCCAAAAACAACCCCTCTTTTATTCCCCAACATTGACCAACCATTGTCTCCCTTGTGTCTCCCACCTAGGCTGGATAAACAATAACAAAAGGACAAAAGAATTTTGTGAGTTTATTGACAAAGTCTTAGAGATTTTGAAACGCTCAAGTTTAGCTTGGCCTTGGTATAGACCTTTCAGGCAAGTCATCATAGGATGAGCTTCCATGTCCTTGTGGAGCCTTTGGAGCCCCGTGTCATGGTGGCTAGCATGAGACATCTCACATCGTGTGCTTCTTCTTCATACTTCCGGTACGAAGTAATTTTTGTAGCACGGGCGTTCGCTTTAGGAGCTTTGGGAGGCTGGGAGGTAAGGACGTAGAGCTCTTTCTCGCATTCGAGAACAATCTTAAGATTCATCTCCCAATAGAGAAAGTTGGTTCTAGATAATTTTTCCTTTTCTAGAACATATCAGGTTGAAAGGGTTGTTGTTGTTGTTGTTTGCCATTTTCAGAAAATTTTGCAAACTAGGTTATCTATCATGTTTAATAATTAATTAGGCCTTTAATTAATTATCTCCAACTATTTTTAACAAATCAATAACCCTCGATATTGATTTGGAGATTTCCGGATAAACCTCTTGTGGGCCAAGATCCATATTTAACTATCTTGCATTCCGCTTGGGCGTTACTCCACAAGACAACTATTTAGGTAGGAACATAGTTTCAACTGATGAGCCGGGCTCTCAACTCTTGGTCTGGTGTTGGGCGAACAATATTACTACAACCGGACCTGGACACCTTTTCACCACACTTGTAATTGGCTGAGACACGTCTTACAAGCAGACTACTTGAAAGGTAACCACGGTTGGGAGGGCAGCGAAAAACAAAAATTTAAGCTCTCAATAGTGATTACTAGCCCAGGAACGCGTACTAAAACTATAGCTAGAGATAGAAACTTATGTTAGAATAAGTTCCCTTCACTAGAGGGGGGTGAATAGTAAGGCACGAGAATGTTTATAAATTTTCACGGAGTAAAAATTACATGGAAAAAGTAAAGAGTGGAATAAAAAAGCGTAAGGAAAGAACACACCGATTTTACCCTAGTTCACTACAACGTGTGGCTAGTCTAGCCTCCCGAGAGACTCTCTCGAGCTACACTACTTCTGTTAAATTTACGGGTGCTTAACAAACCGTTACAACCTGAGAACTCGAGTCCGACGAGCCTCAATACACTTGCTCGGAGATACCGCACTCCAAGACTTCAACCCGAAGGAATATGCCCTTCCTTCGTACAACCAAGGGAACAAACCTCCCTTAAAGTGTTCACAACACTTAACCACTTAAGAACAGAAACTCTCTTAATGAGTAGAATATGAGTAAACTAATTTAGATCAAGAACTAATTTATACCCAAAAATGATGTGTAACGGATGGGAGTTGATTGGGGTTTAATGGCATGATTTGTGGAAATCAAATCAAAGTTGGTCTACAAAATTTTGGCCTAACGTCGCTTTTCATATAGTGAACATCGCTGTTTTGACTCTGACTTTCCTTTAAAAAAGGCTAACGGTCATCAAAACATCGATGTCTAGAAGTCTACATCGATGTTGGGGTGATTGACTTTCAAAAATGGAAAGATTTTGTCTTAAATATCCCAACTGTCATTTAAAAATATCGTTGTTCAACAATAAACGCTGCTGTTCAAAAACCTACTGCCCAAGACTGACGCGAGCCAACATGGCCAAAACATAGATGTTCAAAGTCCAACATCACTGTTCTGACATCGATGTTCAAATCTCAACATCAATGTCCAAACATCTATGTTCAAAATACAACATCTATGTTGGGTCTGGTCGCCAGAACCATGGTTTGGCTACCAACGCCGAAAACCGATGTCAAAAACCAAAGTTCTCCAAAATGAAAACCAAGTGTTTGAAACTCTTATATAATGTTATTTATGTAGAAACCAAGTATAAAAACTTAAAAACCATGTCATTAATGTAAAAACCACTACTAGCCAAGTTAATGCCGTTTCACATGGTTTTCACCAAAAGACCATAAACGAAAGGTGGTTTTTGACATGTTATTGTTGGAGAACTATTTGGATATTCCCAGAAGTAAAAAAAATTCATAAAATCTTAAAAACCACTTGATTGATTTGGACGCCAAAAACCAACGCCGATAACCAGCGCCGGAAAACAAAGGTTATGGTTTTTGAAAACTAATCATTTGGAAAATCTTTAAATGTGTTCAGAAGAAAAAAAAGGATAAAACCCCAAAACCATTTGGCTAAAATCAATACCAATAACCCATGCTGAAAACCGAACGCTGATAACCGATGGTTATGGTTTTGGTTAAGCAAGAACCAGGGGTTTTAGAAACTTAAAACCATTTATGAAAATACTCATTTGATGCATGAAAAACACATTTTGTTTTGAGCCATGACGTAGAGAAATTGAATGAGCTTGTTACAATAAAAACCTAAGGGGCTGTTTGGCAACTTCTGAATAGGTAAGTGTTGAACCAGTAAGAGATCAGAACCATTAAGTGCAGAACGAGTAAGAGGTGTGAACCATTAAGAGCTAGTATATTGCTTAACTATTCAGAGGCAAATGTATGATCAATTCAGATAAGAGGTCTTAACCATTCGGATTGTGTATAATACTTAACCATTCAGAGGCAAATCTCTTAACCATTCAAACATCTGAACCATTAAGAGGCTGAAACAAACAGTCTGAACCATTAAGTGCTAAACCATTCAGACATCTGAACCATTAAGAGGCTAAAACAAATAGCCCCTAAGTCTTTAGACAACATTTTCAAAACGCCAAAGAGCTTTTTGTTCCTTCAAAGAGCTTTTGCTATGACTTTGAATCTTTTCATTTTGTCCCATTTCCCGACGGCTCGTCAATATAAAAATCTAAATGGAAACAAGCATTTTCGTTAACAAAACATCAATGTGAAAATGCTTTCTAACAATTTCCACCTTTTTGATAATGACAAACCAAGGCGGGGATATGCAGGCCATGTTGGGGTTTCATATATATATATATATATATATATATATATATATATATATATATATATATATATATATATATATATATATATATATATAGAGAGAGAGAGAGAGAGAGAGAGAGAGAAATTATTTGATCATATCATTAAATTCGCTTTGACTGTCTGATTTCAGAAACGCAAACGGATCTCAATTCGGACCTGTTCGGGGGAAAAAGCGCCTACCGTTCAGGTCAGATTTTTACATAACGGAGTAAACGAATATTTTTAATCCCCCCATCATTCACACGGCCATCCACTCTCTTCCATTTCTCAAAATCAATTCTCTCATTATTTTCCTTTAACACACCATAATGACCATCATTATAAGTTACACCCCCTCCCTTCACACATCACATTTTTGTAACCTCCCATAATAATCATCACCATCCACCTTCCTCTCCCTCTTGTTCGGCCAGACCAGCTGCCAAGGGTAATCTCCGGCGAAGCTCCGGCGGGTGCGCGGGTGAAGGAGAAGAAGGAGAAGAAGAGCTAGGCCATTCGTGCGAAGCGTAGTCACCGTTCGTCGATTCATTCGTCATCTTCGTACTTCCAATCCCTATGTTCAGAGGTGAGTAGTTGTCCCCTCTAATTCTAGAACATGTAGTTATAATCTATGTCGTTATATTCATGGGAATATCGTACGTAACCTACGTAGAATCTATGCATGTTCGTAGGTTCGCCACCAAAACGTTCATCACGTAAAACCTATAAATCTTGGCCTAGGAATCACTAGGAATATATTCATCAATGTTGTATTATTGTTCTAAAAAGAATATAAGTGTTAAATTAGCAAAACGGTTCAAAACGAAGTAAGGGTCACCACCGTGACGGTCGACCACCGGCCGCGACGGAAGACCACGGTGGACCTCCGGCATCCCAGTCCTCCAAAATGTAGCCCACGGTCGACCGCCGGTAGGGTACAATCAACCGTTTCGCGGGCAGATTTCCAGGCAATTTGTAGAACAAGCCCCGTTGACCACGTTGACCCAGAATCTAATCGTTTGTCACATGACCAAAAGTAAATATATCAAGCATTCATCATGTTCATTCTAGACGCATGTCCTAGGTTTTCATCATGTTCATACTGCTGTAGGGTGGTCAGGCCTTTGTGCGCCTACTAAAGTGGGCCTGTCCAGGAACCTTTGGGATCCAACAGGTTTTCATCATGTGGGCCTTGTGTACGTACATAGTAGTCAGGTTACGGCTACTACCTGGTTTTTGGTAGTCCACTCGCGACATCTTTGTCGTGCCCGGCTCGTTCCTGTTCGGGTACGATAACCGGAGTGCAGGGGTGATCCTTTAGAGTGAGACTAAGCCAGGGGTGTCCCTGATAGTTTAAGTCATGCATCAAGTCATATCATCACCATGTATGTTCCCAACCATCTTGTTATATGTGATAGCACCCCAACAGGTGAAAACTAAACAGTTAGTAAACATGTGGTTTTCCGTACGTTTAGTACAGGTATTAATATGTGTATAGCCTTATGGGTTATCACTTAATGTTCTTTTGTTAGAATCACTCCTCAGCTATTGCTGAGCGTGTAGTTGTTTTTGCTACACGCAGGTAGATATGACGGTGCAGGTGCCAACCCTGGAGAGCAGTGACGATGGGGAGATGGGCGGCGCACGGACGAGTTCATATTTATTTTTAATTACTCAATTAATAATTTGGGCATGAACCCACCCTTTTCATTTATTTAATTTGGACTGGACTTATTTAATTACTTCCGCATTTACTCTACACTTTATCACACACGTTTTGGGAGTAACTCCCTAGTATTTATTCCACTAATTAAAACCCAACCGTTTTCATATTAAATACTCATTAGTGTTTACGTTACTGACGGTTCTCGGACCGCCCATGTAACCCTACCGGTCCATTGGATCGCGGGAGAACCGGGTCCACGGGAGGCGGGTGTTACAATTTGGTATCAGAGAGGTTCGGTTTTGTGAAAAAAATCAACTTTTGTCATTTTGGTCAAAAGGTATTTTTTTTCGAAAAGTCCACAGCCGCATCTCCCATCACATCACTCCCAGGGAAAGGTACACTGTTATTTTAATCACATGTATGTCATATTGTAATTAGTTCTGATTTAAGTTATTCCTATAGAGAATGAGTCAAGCAGCTGGCAATGACGGAAAGGCTGTCCTAAAGGGGGAGCCTGAGCACGTAAGCGTGCACACGGAAGCGTCAAGCTTCACACCTCAGCAGGTCTCCGAGCAGGCAGCCCTGGGCGCGGGCCCTATTCCAAAAGCCATTCCCATCATCCAGCCGCAGTCCGAGGCTAACTTCATGAACTTTCTCGAGCAGATGGCTGGAGCATACGTTCCTTCACCGCCACCACCGCTGCTGGTCACCATCGAGAAGCTCCGGAAGAATGAAGCTCAGGAATTCTTAGGCGATGAGATCGCCGACCCCATGATCGCTAAGCGATGGTTTGAGCGAACCGTTCGAGTTTTGGGAAACCTTAGGGTTCCACAGGATCAGCGCGGCGACCTCACAGTTGCCCTACTCCAAGATTCCGCCTACGACTGGTGGAAGCGCGTGGGAGCAGACGTCCCGGAGCCCGTGCAGTGGGAAACTTTTGATCAACTCTTCCATGAAGAGTACATCCCGAAGCACTTCGTCGAGGCGAAGCGAGAGGAGTTCCTGAAGTTCACCCGGGGTGAACTCACACTGCCAGAGTATCGTCATAAGTTTGACGAGCTCGCAGGGTTTGGGCAAGACCTCGTCCCGACCATGGAGAAGCGGTGCAAGCGCTTCATGGAGGGTTTACGTCCCGACTTGTCGGCTCATCTGATTACTGCCCCTCGAGTTGATATCAACGCATTGTTCAAGCATGCGTTGGACATGAATGTGGCCCTCATCAAGAAGGCTGAGTATGAGCAGACGCAGGGGGCGTCAGCAGCACCATCCCGTCCTCCTCCACCCAAGAAGGCAGGGACAGCAGTAAGAGGTCCTTTGCAGTGCCTAGCAGCTCCCACCAGAGCAAGAAGGCTAAGACCGCGCCGGCACAGTCATCAGCGTCTGTCCAGAAGAAAGGCAAGAGCGGAGATGGGTTCCGTAACCCGATCTGCGACCATTATGGGCGCATGCACCCAGGAGACTTCTGGTTCACTTAGGGCCTATGCCTTGGGTGTGGCCAGGCCGGGTGAGGCGTTTTCATCCGCACTAGCTACCACAGCTCTAGCAGCGCAGCCCGCTCAGAGCCAGAAGTCAGCGGCAGCGTCCAGTCAGCCCAAGCGGCAAGCAGCTGGCGCCCAGGCGGGGAAGGCCCTGGCCCGCACTTACGCGATGCGAGGATGTACTGAGCAGCCAGCTCATGACGTAATCATGGGTATGTTCGCCTTATTCGATACATATGTTTGTATGCATATGCCTGTTATGCCTAACATTCCAAGGGAGGACTTGGACAACCCAGTAATTGTGTCCAACCCATTGGGACACAGTTTACGACTCACCCATGTGTATCATAATTGTCCATTAGTGGTCTAGGGGAAGACTTACCTGCAAGTCTCATTGAGCTTCCACATCGTGAGTTTGACGTTATTCTAGGCATGGATTGGCTCACTGCCAACCAAGCCGTTGTTGACTGTGGAGCGCATACTGTTTGACTCAGAGCCAAAGACGGTAGTGACGTTCTGATCCGTGGTGAACTTTTTCCTAAAGCTCCAGAATTTATTTCCTACATTCATGCTCGTCGACTCATTCGCAAGAAATGTGAAGCATTCTTGTGCACAATGCGTGACACTCATCAGGAGGCACCTAGCAGGGGGGACATCCCTACGGTATGTGACTTTCCTGATGTATTCCTAGATGACTTACCCGGCCTACTACCCCCTAGGGAGGTAGAGTTTTCTATTGACCTAGTTCCAGGAACATGACCGATCTCAATCACACCTTATCGCATGGCACCTGCGGAAATGAAGGAGTTGAAGGCTCAACTGCAGGAGTTGCTAGATAAGGGCTTCATTCGTCCAAGTGTGTCCCCTTGAGGAGCACCAGTCCTGTTCGTCCGCAAGAAGGACGGGTCGATGCGGTTGTGCATCGATTACCGTCAGCTGAACAAAGTCACCATCAAGAATCGCTATCCGTTACCACGCATTGATGATTTGTTTGACCAGCTGAGAGGGGCCACGGTCTTCTCTAGGATCGATCTCCGATCAGGATACCATCAGATTCCCATTAAGAAGGGAGACATTCCTAAGACGGCTTTTCGCACTAGATACGGTCATTACGAGTTCACAGTCATGCCCTTTGGGTTGACTAGTGCACCAGCTGTATTCATGGATCTGATGAATAGTGTGTTCCCGAAGCATCTTGACCAGTTTGTGGTAGCTTTCATCGATGACATCTTGGTGTACTCCAAGACACAGGAGGAGCACGCTGAGCACTTACGCATTGTCTTGAGCATTCTTCGGGAACAACAGCTCTATGCCAAGCTGTCCAAGTGCGAGTTCTGGCTGCACGAGGTTACCTTCCTCGGCCAACAGCTCGGCCAAAGGTGTGAAGGTAGACCCGTGTAAGATAGCAGCGATCACGGAGTGGAAGACTCCGCGTAATGCACGTGAGGTGAGGAGTTTTCTCGGATTGGCGGGTTACTATCATCGGTTCGTAAAGGACTTCTCCAAGATAGCGTCACCATTGCACAAGCTGATGAGGAAGGACGTCAAGTTCGTTTGGACTGACGCCTATAAGCAGAATTTCGAGCAGCTGAACTGCTAAAGGAGTGTCTGACCCAGGCACCAGTGCTAGTCCAGCCCACTCCAGGAGTGGAGTATACAGTCTTCAGCGACGCGTCTCATAACGGTTTAGGATGTGTTCTTATGCAGGAGGGCAAGGTCGTTGCTTATGCATCCCGGCAGTTGAAGCCAAATGAGTGTAATGATCCGACGCACGACCTCGAGCTAGCAGCTATTGTACTTGCTTTGAAAATCTACAGGCATTATCTCTATGGTGAGACAACATGTATCTTCACCGACCACAAGAGTCTTCAGAGGAGATTGTTAAAGTTTATTAAGGACTACGACTGTCACATCCCTTTCCACCCAGGTAAGGCGAATGTGGTAGTCGATGCCCTTAGTCGTAAGACTCTAGCTGTGTTGCATGTTCAGCCTACATTACGTCAGCAGATAGCATCGGCTCAGAGCAGCGACGAATTTTGCATCCAGACCACTGAGCTCGTCTCTCGGGGTGAGAAGCCAGATTTCACCGTGCAGGATGATATCTTGTACTATCGGGGGCGTATGGTAGTGCCAGCGGGGGAGGTGAGGGAACGCCTTCTTCGCGAAGCGCACAGCACCGTATATACCATGCACCCGGGCAGTCACGATGGATTTCGTTGTGGGACTGCCATTGTCACCACATAAGCATGACACAGTTTGGGTCATCATTGATCGGTTGACCAAATCAGCTCATTTTCTCCCCATTTGTCGTGACTTCTCACTTCAGCGTTTAGCAAAATTGTACATCCGTGAGATCATCAAGCTACATGGAGTTCCATCGTCTATCATTTCGGATCGAGACCCTCGATTCACATCCCAGTTGTGGAAGAGTCTGCATAGAGCGTTGGGCTCCAACCTCCACTTTAGTACTGCGTTCCACCCTCAGACCGACGGTCAGTCGGAGAGGGTGATTCAGATTGTCGAAGATATGATGTGCGCATGCGCGATCGACTTTGGGGACGGTTGGGAGAAGTATCTACCGCTCATGAAGTTCGCCTACAACAACAGTCACCACGCTAGCATCGGTATGGCACCATATGAGGCTCTGTATGGTAGACCCTGTCGTACCCCTACTTGCTGGACAGAGCTCAATGAGAGGATGCTGGAAGGGCCTGATCTTGTTCGTGAGACCGAGGAGAAGGTCCAGGTGATTAAAGATCGACTTAAGGCGGTTTCGGACCAACAGAAGTCCTACGCTCACCTTAAGAGGCGTGACATTGAGTATACAGTCGGGGATAAGGTTTTCTTGAAAGTGTCGCCTTGGAAGAACGTCTTACGTTTCGGCAAGAAGGGAAAACTTAGTCCGAGGTTTATAGGCCCGTACCCAGTCACTGAACGGGTGGGACCTGTAGCTTATAAACTCAAGTTACCATCGGATTTGAGTAAGATTCACAATGTATTCCATGTGTCCATGCTCCGAAGGTACCGGCCGGATCATTCTCATGTGATTCTAGCTGATACGGTCACACTCAATGAGAATCTTACGTACGAGGAGGAGCCTGTTGAGATTCTGGCTCGTGAGGTCCGTCAGTTGAGGAACAAAACCATTCCGCTGGTCAAGGTTCTGTGGAGAAGTCACACTGTCGAGGAGGCGACATGGGAAACCGAGGAGTCCATGCGCACTCGTTATCCACATCTATTCAGTGACCAGTGATTAGGTAAATTTCGAGTACGAAATTTTCTTAAGAAGTGGATAATTGTAATGCCCTGCAACCTAGTCTAATAGAATTGATTAATTTAATTAATTAATTACTGTTCCGGACCGAAGTTGGGGAAAATAAAAACTTCTTAGAAAAATTATTTGATCATATCATTAAATTCGTTTTGATTGTCTGATTCCAGAAACGCAAACAGATCTAACCTCGGACCCGTTCGGGGGGAAAAGCGCGTACCGTTCAGGTCAGATTTTTACATAACGGAGTAAACGAATATTTGTAAC